ATAGAAAGGCATGATTCTTGCCTCAGAAGTATTTCTAATTTCACACAATTCCAGCAGTTACTGCATGTGAAAGTGCAGTTTCACTGCACTGTTTCACAGCATCATGATGTGGTTCATGGCCTAAGGGATGTGTGAAAGATGCCACTTAAAGGGGCTGCAGGAATATTTCATGATTCCATGGAAAGTACCGAGACCCTGCTTGCTTTGTGTGGGAGCTCAGGAGATCTTACTTTACTGAGAAACATAGAGAATAATGAGGCATCCCTGGAGAAACTGCTATTGAGTCTTTCCTGACCTGAAAAAACCCCACATGTGTATGACCCAGATAGCAGCTCACTTTTCAGCTGCACACACACTGTCCTTAGGTCATTAGCTGAGATTGTTAACGAGGTGGGCAGTCGGTCACGCTGCAGTGGTGGGGTTTTTTGGCTACCAACTCCTCAAGCCAGAACACATTCATCAGAGCATGCAAAAGCAAATGACTGAAGTGCTGAGCTGCATTTGGACAGGTAGCACACAGACAATGTGCTAAAAGCCTCCAGAAGCCCTTTGCAATTCCCTTAGTCATCCATTCCCACTGAAAGCTTCTCTTTGGGACTTTCCAGGAGGCCTGGTGTGACCTTTGGTTGTCCTTTTGGTCAGAGCTCTTATCTGTGTAGTGCAGACCCAGCCTCTTTCTGCTTGCACTCCTCCAAAGCGGTTTTTATGGGATAAACAAGCCGTATTTGCTGATGCACACTTCCTTATCAGCTGGACAGCACGCTTCTCCTGCATGGTGGGTCACGCTCGCTGCTGGGCCAGCTCCAGGAATTCCAGGGTGGCTGCATCACCGCTCGTTCAGCGCTCGCTCGCAGCCATGGGCTGCAAAAAATCACAGCCACCTTGTGATGGGGCCTTATCTTAGTGTCCACCAGGATTTTCCTGGTGTTGCAAAGCGCCTTTAGGTTGATATTGCAGGTCCTGGATCTTTTTAATGAGATAGCAACACGATAAGTGCTGGTTTGGGGAGCTGTCACAATGCCAGACTGGAGACTATGTGCCTTATTGAAGGAGAATTTCACTTTTATTTTGTTTCTTCAAAATATAAGTAAATAAGTAAAGCATTTCTATATCTCAAAACCAGCTCACAGCTGTTACAAAATACATTGGTAAAATTGTCTGAGACAAGATGCAAGACACATCTGAGGAAAGGAGAAAACCAAAACCTTATGAATTTTTACCAGCTAATCCACCCAAGAAGTTACAGCCCCAAAGAGGAAACAGCTCAGGAATCACACAAAGTGTAGCTGGTACAGAGCTACTGGACTACAGAAGGAGTTATATCTCCTGGGTCACGGCTTCCAGAAGTTATTTCTCTCTCAACACCTCAAAGCATCAGCTTTCCATCACCCTAATCACTTCCTGTTACAACATTTCTTGTTGCCTCTCCTCCAGTTCCAGAACCTCCACAGGAATCAACCTTCTTGCAGTCCATTCCCCCTTGGCTACAGGCTTTGCTGCCTTATGCCAAGCTGTAAATATAACCAGAATATGCCATATATTAGAGCAAATAATTATGCCAAATATAGAGCAGAGGTGATCACAGAGCACTTAGCAAAAGGTGCACTCAATTTTAAATTAAAAAAAGAAAAATCTCTTCACCGAAACATCATTAAAAATCGAAATTTGTCAGTCATGGCTTGCCATGGGGCAGGGCTTGTGGCTTAGAATGGGAGCAAGAAATACAATAACACATTAATTAATGTTTGCAAGGCACTTGAAAATGGCACATGATGTATGCTCCTGCAAACCCTGTTGATTAATTACCATCAGTGATCTGCTGCTTTGTTAGGAACCTTTCTGAGATGTGCCTTCTCATTAAAAACAACCCTCAGCAGGAGGGAACAAGTTGCTTCAAACATGGTTCAACTTTCTGCCGGTTTAATCTTCATCTCACTGACAGACTTCTGAATCTTAATTTAATTATAATGCCTTAAATGTTTTGTGATAGCGTATCTCAATCTCTCTGTTCTGTGTCTTTTTATGTTTTTTAAGTTGTTGTGGGACAGAGGAATAGATATTTTTTTCCAGTGTCCATTAAAATTCCCTTTGCCTGCAGTGTAGTATGTGCTCCATAAAAGAGATGAACCTGCTGCAAGTGAAATAAGCTGATGCTGCACTGTCTTTTTAGAGCAACAAAAATCTTTATAGATTATTTTCCCAAGTGCCATGAATCTCCTTCAAAGCCTTAAGTCACTGATACCAATTAATAAACTTAATAGTCTCATTTTCAATTCACATTCAGGCCCTACAGAGCGTGTGCTCTGGCAGATGCTTGAAAGCTTTGCCTTTCAGACATAAAATGTTACCTTGTGTGTGAGGGGGCTAGATTCAGGAGCAGAAAGACCTGTTAAAGTGCAGCACCTGAGGCCTCCTTGTTTTCTGAATTTACAGTCTCAGTCTGGCAGTCGTATAAATGAGTGATGCTCTCTGATGTTCTCTTCCAAGCAGGCAACGAAATTGGCAGGGAGTCTTGGGTTTTGTGCTGATGTGTCCAGAATTCAAATAATTTCATTCTCAGCTATAATGACAATTGGAGGCAGAGTATTACCTTGAGAAAAGAGAAGGGAGAGAGACGGGTTCTGGATCCTGTATTGAATTAACAACCGATTCCCATTTACTCTCTCCGCTGAAAACTCTATTATGCAGGGCTCTTATTGCCCTTATTCAAGGGCAGGGAATTAAAAAAGTGATATCGATGGTAATGCTCTCATCTTCCTGCCATGACACTGAATAATGGGGACAAAGAAGGGGAATCTTGACAGATGATACGCCTTTTAAAATGCTGCTGATAGTGAAAATACAGAAAGGACGATGCATTTGAGTATCAGTGATGAAGTTGTATTCAGATTTTTGTGCTTTTTGCTTAGAACTTTAAATCAGTTTTGCTTTCCTTTTTGCCCTTGTTTTTGGAACATTTTATTTTCTTTTTGAAGGAGTCTTTACTGTAAGGAATAGAATCAAGATGAGGTGAAGTGTTGCTTATACTAATTCCAAGAGAAGTCTGCTCTCTCTCCTCCTGGACCTGGAGAGCAAGCACTGGAAATCTGTCAGAGAAAAGTCCAGCAATAGATTAGTATAATTATCTGGGGAGACCAATACTGCTGCTCAGGTGGAGGCTCTTTGGGCACTTTCCACTTCAGCTTAAGCTCTTTCTGAAATTACAAGGACTAAATAAAACTGGTGGTCTTATAAAAAATTATACCTGCTGTGGACCCTTCCTTTACAAATACATACATTTAGGTCTAAAAAATGTATTTCCCTGTGTAAACTAGATCTTGCACAAAATAATGAGTGTTTTTGCATTAGGAACTTCTATGGAGTAAGTGAATCTCCATTCTACGAATGGGTAAATGAGAAGCAAAATATGGAACTACCTTGCCAAAAGTCACTTTCTGAGGTGAGAACAAAACACAGGTCTTGATCTACTTAGTGCAAACCTACAAGGTCTCCCTGAGCTATTAACACTCTTCCCTGATCCCAGCCCAGATGTAAATGAGGCCCCTTGCCCTAAATTTTCAGTCAAAGTTTTCTGTGAGGTGAAATAATGAAAATCAGCCCTGTTACAGCTAACACTCTGTGTACATGTGACACGACATGGAGAACCATTGTGCATCTCCACCCTACCTCAGCATCATGGCTACACCCACCAAGCTTTGTCAATGAACTCATTAATGACTTTAGGCTTTGTTTCTAGCTGGACAGAATATTCGCAAGGAGCCACTGTGAATGAAGAGAGCTATAGCTTTATTTTCTTTGCCTTTCCTTGCCTCTGCTGGCAGGAATTCAGGCTAATAATTATAGCTAGCTGCCTATGGCCTCCAGAGGTCAGCATATCACTGGAAAATAGCTAAATATCAGCACCCTCAAACTATGCTTTCCAAGTTGTTCTCATTTAGTTTCCAATTTCACTGATAACAAGATTTAAAGGATTTGTCTCCAACTCTACTTGTGACAGCAAAAGCAAGAAAGAGCTTTCAGAATATCCATTGTAAAATGCAAAACGTTGTCACTGATCGGTGGCTGGGACAGCCCCTGGCTGACAAGTTTATTGAGAATAGTCAAGTAGATATCCAGAGGTTTAGGTGCTATTCCTGACGTGTCAGTATGATTCATGGAATATTATGAGTTGGAAGGGACCCACAAAGACCATCTAGTCCAACTTTTAAGTGAATGGCCCATACAGGGATGGGATAAAACCCATGCTATTCACACCACTGCAGTGATGGTGAATGGACCTGCCAAGCACCCTCTGGGTGGGTGCCAGACTTGCTCAGTTGTGGGAAAAGCTTTGATTTTTAGTGCCTTTCAACACAACATGCAGTTGTAGTCTCAGTCTCAGAAAGAATGATGCAGAACCAGAGATGAGAAATAAGAGTTTATCAGAGGCATGGAACAGGTTTCAGGCAAAAAGACACTTAGACTATTCACCTCAGGAAAAATAAGTTGGAGACAATATGGTATCATGGAATCATGGAATAGTTTGGGTTGGAAGGAACCTTAAAGATGACTGAAATGAATTATTTCTAAATACCCTTATTGGCTCTTGTGATATTATCCTGGATTACATAATCCAGAGCAAAACCAGGATGAGCTACTTTTCTAAAAGACCAAAATCTTACATGATCTCCAAGATCAGGTAGACTCAATCTGTTGCAAAACACCATCTGCAAAATCTGTTGCAGAACCAGCCTCAAAATATCCTCATAAACACCAAGTGCCTTGGTGTCACACAACACTAATTTCTCTGGCAGCACAATCTAATTTCTCAGCATGAAGAGCACAAGATTTACCAAGCTCTCAGTGTTCTCACATTTGTGCTTTGAAACACAACCTGAAGTGGATCCAGCTGTAGACAAAGAGTAGGAACTCTGCTACAAAAAAATAAACTTAATAATACAAACAAAAAAATCCAGCACAACTCAAAAAAAACAAACAAAAAAAAGAAAGAACAACACCCAAATATTTCATTATTTTTATTAAAGCTGCAGAGTCTTACTACACACAACAAATATTTTATTGATATAATCTAAGTTAATAAAATAGTTGAACAACTCTTTAGATTTATATTTGTATAGAAATGATCTGGGGAACATCTCACCTTGAGACAGCAGTGCCTGAAAACAACTATTCAGCAGGGTTTTTTAAAAGAACAGTTTGGGACTAGAGGATGCACTGTTCATTCTCAAAGGAAAAAGAAAAAATCCATGCAAAAATAACTCCCACCCAAAGTGTAAGACCATATGGAATGAGCATGTGAGGGATGGCTCTTTCCTCCCTCGTCATGCCTACTGTGAGAGCTTGTCATCTAAACTCAGTAATGAAAACAAGACAGAAAGAAAACTGAATTGCACAATCCTAGTCTGCAGGTGACAATGTCATAACATCTCTTTACAGAAGTCCCTACTCTGTTCCAGCTGGGAGGATGGGTTATGGTGCTGTGTCTGTCCCCGGCTGCCAGCTGATGTCAGTTACTGTCCGTACTGTGAACAGAAGTCAGTCTAGCTACTATTGCTTTGCTCTCCCTCCTTCACCTGGGTGTAGTTTATATTCTACGTAGCACTGCCTGCCAAGGGCTGACTGCTTGGTGTTTCCCCCTGTTTCAAAGCCCACAGCCCAAAGGATGATCTCCTGGGTGCAGCTGGGCCCGGGAGGTGTCTGTCACAGAGCGCCAGGCACGTCTGTGCTAGATCATGCCATTGATCTTAGTCCACTCGTAGATGTCCTGCTCGCACACGATGTCTGAGTTGATGAGGAGGTACCTGTCCCCCACACAGAAGTGCTTCTGGCAGGCTGCACACTTGAAGCACTCAAGGTGATAGACCTTGTCCTTCACCCTCATGGTCATCTCGTAGGCCCGGATCCGCTTCTCGCAGGAGGCGCACAGCCCATCCTGGCCAAAGAGCCTGCAACGACACAGAAAAGAGGTGAGCACAGCTCCTTGGCTGGCCAGCTGGGGACAGCCGAATCAAACTGAGAGCAAACACCCTTGATCCATTAGGATCAGTGCTGATTTGGAGAGAGGACACATGGAAAGCTGCCCTGCAGAACTGGAAACTTTGCAACACCAAAAATTGAAACAGAAAATCCAAGGATAAAGTCACAGATTGTATTGGGTTGGAAAAAAATTTAAAGTCCATCCTGTGCCACCCCCTGCCATGAGCAGGGACACCTTTCACTATCCCAGGTCGCTCCAAGGCCCATTCAACCTGGCCTGGAACACTTCCAGGGGTGGGGCAGCCACAGCTTCTCTGGGCAACCTGTGCCAGGGCCTCACCACCCTCACAGGGAAGAATTTCTTCCCCAAATCCAATCTAAATCTAGTCAAATCTATCAATATAATTGGCTTCTCTGATCAATGACCTTATTCTGAATTGGAGGAGCAAAGGTTGCCCAGAGCACTGCATAAAGTTCTGCAATATTAACACTTCCACTTCTGTGATCAAAAGAAATTATCTTTTGTTAATTATTTTTGCCTTTAAGATGTTGCTCTGTGATTTACAGGAAGGAGTTGGGATAAGCTGTGGTCTGAGGCTCTCCTGCCTTTTGTCTGTGCCTCCACATTTTGTCAAACATTTCTGTATCCATGAAGGCTCTCCTGGTCCATGAAGTCACTCCTGATGGGTTTCAGAAGGACACATTCTAGGACCTCCGAGATACCTATGAGAAAGATTTATCTGTGGACTGTTTTTTCATCCTCATGGAGAAACCCTCTGAGGTCCTTATGATATTATCTATGAAAAGGAGCCTTTGCTGAATGCCCTGCAGAGTTTACTGAGTCAAATCAGTAATAAAGAGGCATGAATATGTTGATATTTTATATATATTTGATATATTGATATTTTATCCTTAAAAGGGCCGAATGCTACACATCTCCTGCACGTGCTGTGCCTGATCTAAGTCATATTCTGAACCAGAAAAAGGATGTCTGGTAAATTAAGAGACCTTTAAGGAGAAAGAACATAATTCCTTTTGTCTACCAGGAGATGTCACTGTTTACTTCTGCCCAGTGAAAGTAACGCTAAGGTTACACAAAGGTTGCCAAATTTTTCATTAATGTGGGAAGATATTATCTGTTGCATTATTAAATAAATAAAAACGTTGGATTTCACTGCAAGAAAAGGCATTAATTGTATTTCCATACCTCCTGTTGCTTCCATTTTAAGATGAAAAGTATCTGGGAAGTGTAATTAACACTGGATCACTGCTGGATTTACAAGTGGTCCCATTAGCAGAACTCAGTCCTTAATTCCTGCTCAGCAAAACTCCCATCAGCAAAACCCAGGGGCAACATCATTAGGAAGTCCACTGAGATTTTGGTTTTGTTTTTATTGTCAGGTAAATTAGCCTTCAGTAAAAAAGCTGGAAAAATACCAAATATCATTATTCTGTTCCACAAACCTCCAGACATGTTAGGGATCCATTAGAAGAAATGGAACACAACCAGCACAGCAAAGATCAATACATTTTAATCAAGAATATAAAGATCCTTTATTACCAATTTTTGTGAAATATCTTAATCTCCAATTAATTCTTTACTTACGAATTTCAGCAAAACAGGTAGGCAGAGAGTTATTCATGAAAACACCTATAGCAAATGTATTTGTAGGATCTGATTCTGCAAATTGTGAAAATTCTTGCTTATTCAGCACCAGGCCAAAGAATGCCAAAAACCCAAAAGATCTTTCACCTCTTACCTGCATTTAAACACCTTTAAGTTCCAAGGCAATACTGGAGAAACAGAAAACTCCTTAAAACCATTCAGGGGAATCAGTTCATTGCCAGCTCAGTGGGAGATTGATGGAATTCAGCCCCTTTTCCCAACGTCTGCTTTCCAGAATGCCACACTAACCCTTCACCTGGAGCTATGGGGTTATGTCTGTGCAGAATGACAGATGCCAGCAGCTCCGAGTCCTAGGAGTTCTTTCTGTATTCTCCACATTATCAAATAATTCTGGTTCATCCACAATGTGTAGTACTGCTTTCATTAACATTAAAAATGCTTTTCTTCTTTCCCCCAAACTTTTAAAGATTTAACTATAAACAACTGCAAGCTGTTTATCTAACCAACACAGATAATCTCTTGTTTTATCTATCATTTACTGAAGAATCCCAGCAACACTAAAGGCATCTGCATATGAATCCCAAAAATATGAGGACAGGCCAAGGGAGCTGGGGCTGTGTACTCTGGAGAAGGCTCTGGGGAGACCTTAGAGCCCCGTCCAGTGCCTAAAGGGGTTCCAGGAGAGTTGGAGACAGACTTTGGACAAAGGATAGAGGAATGGGACAAGGGGGAATGGCTTTAAAGTGACAGGGTGTGTTTAGTTGGGATATTGGGAAGGAATTCTTCGCTAAGGTGAGGCCCTGGCACAGGTTGCCCAGAGAAGCTGCAAATCTCTGGCCCATCCCTGGAATGCCAGGTTGGAGGGGAATTGGAACAAGCCGTCCTAGTGGAAGGTGGCAGAGGGGCTGAAACGAGAGGAGCTGCAATGTCCCTTTCCAGCCCAGACGATTTGAGGATTCCACAACAGGAGCCCATACTGCAAACCTGAACTTGCAGGTGCTGGTACACCCATTGCCAGGCTTTGAGAGCCATTCCAAATGAATTCTTTATTCCCAGCTGTGCTCAGTGAATGATGGGAAGGAGGGAGGAAGGGTGTGAGGAGTGGGATGCATACCTGAGATAGTCCCTCCTGCAGAGCTTCCTGCCCAGTTTGTAGTAGAGGCGCCTGCCCACCTCGCCGAGCCGGCAGCCGCACAGGTCGCAGCTGAGGCAGTCCTCATGCCAGTACTGGTCGATGGCCTTCAGGAAATAGCGGTCCCCGATGTTCTGCTGGCACCCCCCGCATGTCAGCAGTGATGGGGGGATCTGCAGCACCTCATCCACCGGCTCCCTGAGGGAATGAGACAGACATTGGATGAGGGAAACACACTCCGAGAGCATCCATCCATGTGAAAAGAAGGAACAACAAAATAAATCACAAGCTTGGACAGGTCAGGACAAGGATGGTGTCCTCGATTTTGCTCATTTTCACTGGGACTAAGAAAGATACCCAAGGGATTTTATACTTTCCGTTGGGAAATGGAAATTTGGAGACTAAGTTTGATGGTGTCACTTCTCAGAACAGCACAAAATTAATAAGCACAAAAGATGATTCTGTTGCCCGACTGGTTTAAGTCACACTGCTGGTTTCAATAAAGCCAGCATTTTACCTCATGTTGCTGCAGGACTTCTTTTTTCCCTTAGCCAAGGACATGAATCCCCTGGGATGGGTCTATGCCAACATACCTCAATTATCTGGGATTTACACAACCCTGAATGAAAGGAGGCACAAATCTTTATTGTGATATTAGCACTGACTCTTTATGCACCTTGTTTCTTTTTCTAAAAAACTTGGAGATTTAGGATAATTCTGGTAAAAGAAGTGATAATTTTCTTCAAAGCTACTTTCTTAAGGACTTCTGTGTCATTTGGGGTAATTTCACATCTTTAAAAAAAAAAGAAAGAAAGAAAGAAAGAACAGCAAAAAAATTAAAAGAACAGTGCCAGAACTCAGTTTTCTAATGTTTTGGGTTTCACCCAAATGCCAGAGAAGTTAATCAAAAAATCTACTGGATCCATCCCTTAAGCACTTGTTTCATTTCAAACCTGTGGCTAATAGAGTGGACCCCAAATTTTTTCCTATTATTGGATTACTGCTCCAGCACAGAGTCCCTGAGCAATTTGCTTCTGTCACTGGTCTGTCCTCCCCTGGGCTGGTGGGGGCAGAGGAGATCTACACTGATGAAGAAGCACTTCTCCCAGCTTCAGCACGCAACAGGAAAAAAAATTGTATTACTCCTTATTTACTGGGTCAGCAGTTTTCTGGGCAAAAATTACTTTCTTCAGCAGGGAGGAACGACCTCTGGTCAAGAACTTCTGGGCTGAGAAAGTGATCCTGCAGTTTTTATTTAGGCAAGCTGAGCCCTGAGATATTATCTGGTTCTATTCTGCTCTGGTTTCTCCCTTCTAAGTTTAAACTGCTGTGCCCTGCAAGCTGTGTTGTAACACCCCTCTCCTGCTAGCTCTCCATCCTGTGAGTTTTCATTTAATTTCATTTCATGGGGAACTCATGATTAGGCCCTACATTTTCCAAATTTATCCCTTTTGGCCACATACTCCCTCTCCTAACACGTGGGCTCCATGCTGACAACTTTGGAGAGCTTTCCAATAGAAGGAAGCACACATCATTATCCTTTATTATCCATTATTTGAAACTTTGGAATGTACCCCAAAATATTTCATCCTGAGGGGTGCTTGGGAATCCCAAGCCAGGTTTCTCTGAGAGCCCTAAGCTCCGGAAAACGGATGTTTATGCAGAACAGCATTCCTGGTTTACACATTAGGCTTTTGATGTCCATGAATTTCTAAGCCAGCACTTAAGCCACCAGAACACAAGGCAGGTAAATAAATAAAGATTAAAAAAAAATCTTTGATTGAAAACTGGACATCGTTAGGAGCTGGGACTAGTGTTTCTTAAAAAAACATCATAAAAGAAAATGTAACATGTAAAACATCATGGAATGAAGTGATTTAATCCCCAAAAGCAGTGGTTCTCATGTGCTTGCTCCGGGCTCCAAGAAATGGCAATTTTAGTATCTCACAGGAAACAAACCACAAATGACTCAATTTACTGAGTGCAATGTTTTAAGCGTTAAATGGAAACGGAGATTTTATAATTTATTTCTTTTTTTCTTCTCTCATATCGCGATCCCAGACAAGCCTAAGTGAAGTTAATTAGCACGTTCAGGGTTGAAGTGACCTGGGTCTGTGCTGAGTTACCATCCCTAGGTATGCAGCAGGTTCGGGACGGCGTGAGCACAGCCCGGGAGAAAGCTTGGATCCGGACACGGCAGCTGGTCCCTTCCCTGAGTGGGAAATCCAGGGAGGGAAATTCTCATCTCCTACATCCCGTCCATCAAATCTGTCTACATGCCCTTAGCAGAACACCCAGCCCCCACCGAAGCTTTCTACGAGCTCTTGGAAGTTGCATTATGAAAACGTGGAAGTTGGGCACCCGCAGATAACAGCCCTGACCTTTCACTGATGGGCTGCAGCGAGTTGGGCAGATCGGGGATGGGGCAGAGAGGGTCCCTCGGGATGGAAAACCTGAAAGCTTGGGAAGCGGGATGCTGTCTCTCTCGCCGAGCATCCCCACCACCCCGCGCTGGGATGAGCGAGTAGGAGATGCCCTGCCCGGGGGGAATTGCGCCTCCCTGCTCCCGGCTGCTCCTTCCCGCAATTCGGGGGGCTCTCCCCAAGCTCCCCCACACCGTCAGCCCCACGGGACCGGGGCAGCCCGGTGTCCAGCGAGGGGGAAGGGGGGTCGGAGCGGCGGGGGCTGCCGCCGAAGCCCTCCAGGGCAGCCGGGCACACAA